AAAAACACACACACACACACACACACACACACACACACACACACACACACACACACACCCGGGGCAGAAGAGATACTGCTACCAGGCGCGTCTCCTCGAGCGGATGGGAGAACGCTCGCTGTCTAGCAGACAGGTTTCCTAAAAAATATATAATAATTATTTTCTAAAAAATTAGACAAAGTGAATAAATTTTTTTTTTATTCATTGACAGGTAGAGACACTTTTTTAGCGGTGACCTTCTCTTTTTTCTCATGCAAAAATCTTTCGCTACAAAAATTCTCAGCAATAATTTCTTGTATAATATTTTTTTTATTTAATTATTATTAATTTTATTATTATAAAAATTGATAATATTTATAAATGAATGAATAATAAGGTAAGAACAACTGTACCGTGCTTGGGGAGCCGATATCAGTTGAGCACTATTGTTGAGTTCCCCCTCTACCATTAGTCCGGGTAGCGAACGCGCTCGCTTTATCGAAAATCCGCTCGCGTTCAACTCGCTATTATTTGACCCCAATCAAAAATTAATTTTTTTCAAAATAGCCAAGTTTTTCGTAATTAAATTCTTGATTTTTTAAAGTAGGCGCAAGTGCTGTAGTAAATTTAGTTTTGGAGATATTGGCTTCCAAAAAAAAAGCGGTTTTTTGATTTTTAAAAATCAAATTTTCGAGATAAATATTTTGAAAAATATTAAAAATGTTCCTTTTATTACCAGAAATATGTGGAAAAAATCAAAAATGAAATCGGTTGATTTTTCAGCTTGCTAGCTCAATTTGTTTATGAAACTTCGATTGTTAATAACTAATAAACTATGTCTGACAGAAATTTACCCGAAAACAAAGTTGTAGATTTTTTTATGCTCTACAAATTCTATGTGAAAACTTAACCCGCTAGATTAATAGTTTCAGAGATATTTAATTTTTAATTTACGTTTCTTTTGTTTGCCTATTATTTATTAACAAATTGAGACCGCCATTAGATACTTGTTAGAATTTCATATTAACCTACTTGGATTTGAAATTTGAAGAAATTTAAATTTTTCGATCAACTTCCAGTTGGCACAGCCAAACTGGGTAAAACTGACTAATTTCTGTGGGCTATAACTTTTAAACGATTTAACCGATTATTACGTAGTTGACAACAGTCGATGCAGTTTTTTGAATTCTATGATAAATTTCAAACCGTGAATAAATCAGATAAAAAATTTCGGACTTTGTTTGAAAAAAACGCTTTTTTCGATTTTTTTCATCAACGATATCTCACAAACGAATCAAGCGATTTTGACCGGTCCAGCGGCGATTGACGTAGTTTTTTGATGTTAAGAGCTGATTAGTTTTTGGTATCGGTCAATAAAGCTGTTCAAAAGTCATTCTAAAAAAACCACATTTGAAAAAAAGTTCTCATTATTTTAAAATTTTTGAGTGGCCTATAAAATTAATAAAAATCTTCCTAAAGTATAAGTGTTATAGGTCAAATTGAAGGAAATATAATCAGCTTCACCATGAAGTTTTCAGAAATGAGCTCTTTTCTATCAGTCAAAAGTTATTCACGGTTAAAGTTACAAAACTTGAAATTTACAAAATTTTGAAAATTTTAAATGGCCGCCATTTCTAAACTAATTGACCAATTTTGCTCATCTTCGAACTCGACCTCGGTAATTACCCAAAGAATATGTGTACCAAGTTTCATCAAGATCGGTTGAAAACTTTTTGAGATATCCTGATGACAAGGCTGGTTATATTACATATATATACATATATAAATTTTTTAACCAATGGTATTTTTGGAACCTACTCGACTAATTATAACATATAATAGCAAAATCAGGTGAAAATTCCACCATGAGGACTAATGCAATAGTTAGATTTCTAATAAAATTTACCTAAAAATGATCAACAAATCGCTTCTTTCGGCCTTTTAAGAGGGATGATATTGTCTTTAAAAAGTATTTTTCGAAGTTAAGACTTTTAAATTGAATAAAAAATGACTAAAAAGGTTTAAATGTCTTATATATAAATGAAACTTTCAGACCCCAGACGAGTATCAAGTGGAATACGACTCCCGTCGAGGTAACGAATACTCGAGATTCCATGGTTACACATACGATGGCATCTGGGCAGTGGCTCTGGCGATCCAACATGTAGCACGTAGAATCCGGCACTTTAGAAGAAATCAAACGGTTGCTGACTTCAAGTACCGGGATCCACTTTGGGAAAAGCTCTTTCTCGAAGCTCTGAGGAACACTAGCTTCGAAGGAGTTACTGTGAGTAAAATACACCAACGTAGTTGACTACTAGTAGCTCCCATAGAGTTTGAAGAGTGGAGAAAAGTGTAATAGACTATATAGACTCTCTCATATATATTCACTCACGAATTCTATTAAAGCTCGAGTAACCATCGCCATTTAGGTTTCTATACTTAAACTTTCTTCATATAATCTTCTGGCAACCTATCCAGTATCCTATGGCTCTTTTATTCTTGTTATCAACCACTTTCACACATACATCCACTCACTGACATTAACACACACTCGCTTTTATTCATGCACGGAAAATGACTATAATTCAACCTTTTTTCGACGTGTTTTCTCATTCAAGACGAGGGAGCTATTTTCACGTTTCACCCTTGTTACTCTCGCAATTTGTTCATTTTTAACATTGCCATAGGACAATTCCCAACATGAATCTCATTCTGTTATAATTTTTTACATAAATTAAATCATAAGTTATAACGCCGGAGGAAATAACTTTTTGAATTATACTCGGCTTATTTTACAATTAGTCTTTTTGGATTAAACTTTTCATTAATATTTCTTCTTACCTAGGGAAAAAAAAGTTTATTGTTAAATTTTACGTGTTTACTTAAATTGAAGCGATCTATTCATATTTTATCAAAGAATTTTAAATTGCGCACGGTCTTACACTTACAGTGCCATGCCAAAAATTACAACTTGTGTTCGAAACGATGGCGGATAACCGAGACCACCAGTTTTAACACTAAAATGGTCATGATAAATAAACAACAAAGATTTTCGCTAGTCCACATGAAAATAAAGTAAAAAAAAAATTAGGAAAACGGTTGACCCTAAAGGCCATCCCTGCAACTTCCCGCTACCTCCATACCTAAGTGCTCAACAATTCACTTATTTTTTACGCTCTTCGAGCTCAAAAATATAATTTTTGTGTAATTTTAAGCTCTCCGAGCTCAAATGAATCGCTGTTCTGTGCTTTTGAGCCCTTCGAGCTCAAAAGGCTAATGGAAGTTTTATAGGACACTATTTTTTGAATTTTCAAACCGCAATAACTTTTGAATGAATTAACCGATTTTTTCGCGGTTTACGGCATTCAACGCAGTTTTTTGGGTTCTTTAAAAAATCTTCAAGCGTGAACTGGTCAGACTAAAAATTTCATAGAAATTCTGAAAAAAACATTTTTTCCAATTTTTTTCGACAACGATATCTCACGAACAAATCAACCGATTTTGACCGGGCTGGTGGCAATCGACGTGGTTTTTTAAGGTTAAGAGCTGATTAGATTTTGGAATTGATCGGTTCACCCGTTTAAAAGATATTGCAAAAAAACGAATTTTTGGAAATTTTATTTTTGAGATTTCTCAAAATTGATCGACTCAAATTTTGTAAATTATCATCAGAATTTTAGGGGCAAAGGAACTCATCAGAACGCCACCTATTTCAATCGAATCGGATGATCCGTTCAAAAGTTACGAGAGATTTACATACACACACACACACACACACACACACACACACACACACACACACACACACACACACACACACACACAGAGCGCGTTAACCGGTGGATGGACGCAGTGAACCTGCAACTGGCGCAACACAAGACTGAGGCAGTGCTTATTACCAGCAGAAAAGTGGTAGAGACCATTAAGCTGCAAGTCGGCGAACAAGAAATCACATCACAACCTTATATCCGATATTTGGGAGTGATGCTTGATGCCCGACTCAACTTCAAGCAGCAAGTGGAGCATGTCAGTGCCAAAGCATTAGTAGTGAGGGCTAGTCTAGCACGATTGATGCCTAACGTCGGAGGCCCAAAGCAGAGCAGAAGACTACTACTATCATCTGTAGTCACATCAGTGCTCACTTACGGAATATCCATTTAGGCCGACGCACTAAAGACGCAAGAATCATGGAAAAAGGCTGGACCAGTATATCGACAAAGTGCCCTACGAGTAGCTATCGCCTTTCGCACAATATCAGAGGAAACAGTGTGTGTTATTTCCGGTACTCTGCCACTCAGAGTCCTAGCTGAGAAAAGATGAAACCTATATCAACGGAAAAGGTCAACCACACTGAGCCCTGAAAAACCTAGAAGCTAAGAACGGCAACACAGCATCGCAAGATGGCAACAAGAGTGGAACGCTTCAGATAAGGGTCGGTGAACGTACCGTCTCATACCTCGGATTGATGACTGGTTCAACCGGAGTCACGGTGAGATCAACTATAACTTAACGCAGATGTTATCAGGATACGGATGTTACCGGAAGTATCTCCACCGCTTTAAGCATGACGATACCCCAGAGTGCCCGTCCTGTCCAGGGGTCAATGAAGATGCGGAGCATGTCTTCGTTGTGTGTCCATGTTTCAACCAACAGCGCAATGAGTTAGAGAAGATTCTGAAGAAGAAAACCCAACCAGAGTCAATAGTAGAGGCAATGTTGTCATCAGAAGCTGCCTGGAACGCTACAATTTTTTTTTTTTAAATAAAGGAAAAAAAAAAAAAAAAAACAAAAAAAAACAACACACACACACACACACACACACACACATACATACATACATACATACATACATACATACACACATACAACATACATACATACATACAGACATGGTGACATCACCGCGGAAATAGTCAGGAAAGCTTCCTAGGACCTCAAAACGTCGAGATCTGATCAAAACTCGATTTTCGAAAAACGGGGTGAAAACAATAACTTCCCGATTTTTGAAAATTTTCAATTTTCTTAGCGGGAAGTTAAAAATTATTAAATCAATTGATCGAAATTTTTGTTCGATACAATACATTAAAAATGTCGTTATATGTAGAGTGTTTACATAAAAGGTTATAATTGTGAAAAAAAATATTTACAACACAATCCTCATCCATATATCAAAATACCACCAGGATAATGCCCATAAAAAGACGATTTTACTTTTATATTTATAAAAATAAGTCTCGAGTCTCGAGTATAAAAAGCACAATGTAACTCACAATTCAAGATCTTAAAAAGCCACAATTGATTTTTCTCGCATTGTTACTGGCCAGCAGGTATGCTATTTATTCTATTGTGAGTACACCGGGGGCTTTTTAAATAAAAACACTTTAAAGCTATTATTTATCAAAACATATATGTGTAATGTGTATATACATGTTTTTTGTATAAATAAATGATACCTCCCCATAAATAAATCTCAAGTACGTCTATTATTGCCTTTATAAATATTCAAAAAAATTTAGTCGATGGTCAATCTGTCACTTACAGACAAATCGATACCAGCTGCATAGTAAAACTCTCGATCAATACAAAATATACACTGGGAGAAAAATGTAACGGAAAATTTACAAAAAAATTCGGTTTGAAGTACTAGACAGTAAATTGTGGTATATGATTATACCGTAGTTGAAGTAAAACTTCTTTTTTCACGTTATATTATACGATATTTTTCATGTAGTATTTGTTACTGTTTTCGTGCTTACGAATGATGTTTAGAATTTTTTCTTTAAAGTTATTCTATATTTTATAACCTTTAAGAAAAAAAAATATTTTTGTTACTACACAATTTTTAAAATTTTATTCGTTTCTATTTTTGTGCTTACGGCATTAACTATTTGTACAATTGACTCAAACTTCTAGTAAACTCAGTGGAGAAAAGAGCACTAGCGCCAACCTAAACTTTTTTTACCAGTGTCTTCTATAATTTTATTTCATTACGAAAATAAGCGACGGCTTTGCAAAAAATAAATTATAAATATTTTAAACATATAAACGTGGCCGTCAATCTCAACTATTGTTGACATTATTTAAATCATTATTAAATTACAAGATTTTCAAATTTATAATCTCGAAACTAACAGGTTTGCTATATTCTATACAAAAAAAAAAAAAATACATCACATCAAATCAAACGATGATAATGAAAAATGCACTAATCAATTTAAAGCGGTATTAAAAATAAATATGTATAGGAATAAAAAGTTAGATTAATAAATTTTTTGCTCGTAATATTTTCAATTCCTCAGATACTCAGATAATAAGAAAAATCTTGACTCTAAACACGTGATATATTTTATTTCAATCATTCAATTTTTTGAAAAAGCTTTACTTTTTTTATCATCTCAGCACCTACTCAATAAAATCCCAATACAATCAACAAAAAATAGAAACCTTATTTACTTTATTTAAAATAATTCCAGGGTCCCGTTCGGTTTTACGACAACGAGAGGAAGGCCTACATCCTGTTGAAGCAATTTCAAAGTAAGCATCCCCTAAATAAAGTAAATATAAGCAGCAGAGTCCAAATAAATAGTAACATAAAAACGTATGATCCAATAAAAAGTATGCAAGTCTGGCGGTGATAAAATTTTGCCCGAAGACAAAAAAGATGTAATCAATTGAGATGAAAAGATTCTCAAGAGGGAACACGTCAATTTCAGGTGGCAGCGAGGTCAAAGTAGGCGAGTACGATGGTGTCACTGATACTCTGGATCTACACCGAGGTCAGCCGATGGTCTGGCGTGGTCGATCGCCCCCAAAGGACCGAACCGTTCACGTCATCGAGCACTCAACTGTCAACATCACTATTTACGTGACGATCGCTTCCGTAGCTAGTGTAGGTATTTTGCTGGCTGTGGTGTTTCTCGCCATCAACATCAGATACAGGAATCAAAGGTACTTGGGATACATTCCTGTTTACTGCTTTGCGCAGTGTATGGATGAGAGCTTGTATGTATGGAGGAATGTGGTTGCGAATGGGGGTGAGCTAGATCTGTTGATAGGTGATGGTTGATGATAACTTGATAAGGATCCTGTTGGCAGCACTGGTATTGCTATTGGTAGTGCAGCTGGTGGGAGTGAAAATGGTGATAGTGGTGATTGATAGCAATGTGTGTATTTGTCCATGTTATGCCACTTACTTTACCCTCGGTCCTTGAAGTACACATTCAATCAGACCATTCATATATGCACACATTATATTTATTGATCTTTACTTGTTTGCTTTAATACCGAGGTTTATGCAGGCTGTATGCTAAGTTTGGTTATAGCAATAAAGTTCATTAATTATACGGTATTTATTCTGGAGAAGGTCGTATCGACTTTTGATACCAATGATTTAAGAACGTTTCGGAGGGTTTTAAATTTGTGACTATCTAGTTCTTGAATTTTAAGTTTGACGCTTTTATTAGGATTTTTGATTACATTCTAATTACCAATGTCATTTTCTTTCTTAAAAATGATTTATATAATAAATAAATTAAAAAATATTTAAAATAAAACAAATAATATTTAAATCTATATTAAATATTAATAAAAAAATATATGTTCTCAATAGCTAACTTTTGTCTGATTTCTGTATAAATTTTATAAATTTTAACTATAAGTAAAATACATTGAAAATGCAGATTAAAAAAATTTTTAATTCACATGTATAAAAATATAGAAGAAATATATTAGCAGCCATATAAAAATATAACGATGACAATGGGCTCGTTCAAGTTTACTAAGTTCTTAGCTGGACTGAGTTTAAATTAGTATACCTTGTATTGTTTTCTTATAGATATTTTTTAGAGAGAATGTAGTCACTTTTAGTTTTTGGTACAAGATCTGCCAAGAGCTTAGTAAACTTGAACGAGCGCAATATATTGCACAAATAATATACAGCATAATTTGAAAATATACAAATATTAATTTCATACTATATAATAGTTCCAAAATGTTGTTTAAATCATACTTAAATATAAATAAAATATCAAAATAATGATTTTATGATTAAAATATAAAAAATATATCAAAAACTTAAACATTAAAAATATATTTGTTAATGTGTATTATTTTTTTAAATATTTTTGATATAAAATTTATTTAATGAGTGTTATTTGAAGAAATGATAATCATATAGACTCAAAGAATCCCTTGATTCCGATGTCCAATAGAAATATTTCTTTATTGGATAGTATCAGAGCAATATCACAAAAAAGGAATGAATATCCCTAAAGGCCAACCCCGTTGGCATCATGTTCCTTAATATAAACCTGAAAAACTTATACTACCCTCCACCGTAATAATTAATGACTATAATTACGACCGTAAACTAACATGCAATATATTAACCTAAAATTAATAATTAAAAGCTCAAATTGAATAAATCAAATTAAAACTAAATCTTAAAAATAACTTGAAAATAATAAAATTTGAGTTATTTTATTTACCGCATCTCTTTCTTTTGGAAGCTGGATGAACTGAATCTATAACTTGTATCTTCCTCTTCTCCTGGATTTTCTTATCCGGGCAGGGCTTCAGTTTTTGGAGAACAACCTTTAATTTTTCTTCTGTTGGATCCAAATTGGGAGTAATTTTTTCATGCTTCTTCGTCCTTTGATAGTTGTCTCGGGTTTGATCAATTTCGTCCGTCTCTAAAAACTTTCCTCTATTGACATCTCGAAATTTCGTCATGGCAATAGGGCGAGTGTTACGTGGAAGTACACTGAAATTATATTTTTGCGACTTTTGATCTATCTTCCCCGTTTGGTCCATAGTCTCCTGCTTTTTTACTTCGTCCTCGGACTTCTTTTTCTTTTCCTCGGATTTTTCTTGTGTTTTTTTCCTCTTCCCTGTAATCCTGACTTCTGACTTCTCATCCTTTTTCTCCTCGAACAATCCTCGACGAAGGGGTTTGTTGAATTTCCGATAGTTAATTGAAGTCCCAAAGTATACATATGAACCCACAAAGAGTGTAGTGCAGCGTCACCACATGCTACAGAATTATACTCTTAAATTTACTATAAGATGTCGCCACGTGATATCTGAACATAACCTATGATTGTAATAGTATGCTTAATCTTCTGATTATATTCTATTAATAATTATTAATAATCATCTTTATTATATCTGATAAATAAATAAAATTTCATATTAACAAACAAATATCCGATAACTAACGGCCGTAATTCTATCACGTGGCTTTGAAAAAAATACAAGAAATATGAATCGTACTTTTCAGACACGTTGTCTTTTAGACACAACCTACAAATCATATACATGTTCGGTTTTTCGTAGTTTTTGTATAAAAAATATTCCAAAATTCAAATAATTTAATACACAGAAAGAAATATTTCTTGACTGGAGAACAAAATTCTTGGCTCAAGTAAATTATCGGTCGCCCGAAGGAAGACCGAAGTTGTGTTGGCCGAAGTAAAAATTTTTCCTTAAATTCTATTCTTGGTGGAAGTAATTTTTTCTTAATTAAAATTATCATAAATACTTGATACAATAAATTTTTATATTTGATCAAGATTTTTAGATAGTTTAGGGAAGCAGCGCCACCTACTTCAGCTGAGAAAAAAATTATCTCATCTTGAGAAAATTTTTCTCTTGAATATTTGATACCCATTTTAGATCATTTTAGCGTGCAATTATACATATTGAATGAAAAAAAATGATTCAATATTATTTGATCTTTCCATTAGACATGTTAGTCAATAGAAATATTAATGAAAATTTACTATCAAGATTTTTAATTTTTTGGAGCAAGAGAGAAATTTTCTCAAAACAAGAAAAATTTTCTTGACTTAAATAAATTGTCTTGGATCAAGAAACGTATTTCTTGAAGCAAGAGAATTGATTTGTTGGAATAAGTGAAATTTCTTGTGTCAAAAAAAAATTTTTTTTTCGCCCAAGTAAATAATTATGAAGAAAAATATTTTCTTGGCTCAAGTGAACCTTTCTTTCTGTCTATATATATTTTATACAAGAAAATTTAAATTCTTTTACTTTAAATATTATTTATAATTTTTCCTTTTGATCATTTACCTTCTTTATATTAATCCAAACAATGAGACTTTTATCTGATTAAAAACTTGACATGTAAATTAAATCACCAGAAATAAATAAAAAAATTTTACTCTATCAATTAAAAATAAATGTCAAATAACAGTTATCGATTACGACTTTAATTAAATCAGTAATTTACTACCGGAATGTTTTTTTCAATCGTTGAATGTATATTTTTGCATAATTTTATCAACATAGAAAATCTTAATGAACTAAGTAACTTAATATCCCATCAATTTTTCACCGCAGCATTAATTACGTTGAAGTCAGGTGAACTAAAAATATTAATAATTGAGTTGATTATTCAAAAACTAAATAGAATTTTTTAGTAACATAAGCGCATGTCTTTGATCCTCCACATGATCTATCTACAATCTAAATCTAAAATTATAAGCAACCGATGCGTCTAAATAATAGATATATTATATGTTATGTGTTAATCCGCTCAAATATCTAATGTTACAAGTGTACTCAACACGTAACACTGTTGACAAATGCTTTGTTACGTGATTCGCACTTTAGATACTCTTATCTCCATAATAATAAATATAGACAAAGACGTACTCTATATTGTTATTGATTAAATCTTGTTCTGCACAGTATTATTTATTTAATCATTTCCATTGCACCCAACCAAAGCTCAAGCTTATTAAACTAACCTGTATTACTGACTTATAGAGTAAAGCAACAATTTAAAAAAATTACTTACGAAAACTGATGCACAGGAAAAAATAACTTGGTTAAAGTAAATATTTTTTTTTTAAATTTTAGTTTTGTTTTAAAGTATTTACATTTCTCAATTAAAAGAAACTTTACCCTTGAATAAATAAATTATAACTCTTATAAATAAAGATCGACAAAACCTTTATTGAAGAGTTTTATTCTTCGACCAAGTATTTTATTGTTTTTCAATCGAGGTACATATATGTTTTGCCCGAATATTTTATTCTCTTTGTTTGAGGACAATAAAATTGATTCAAGCTAATGCAAACTGCATTTAAAAATACGACATTTTGTCAATCAGGTTATTATTTTATTTGGTTCTAAAATATATCTATTCTAAATATATCTATCTATCAAAATTCCGAATATTTTCCGAGTTATAGTCATTTTTGTGACAGCGCGTCAAAATGACTTTTCTTGCTCTCCTAGCCGAAAGTACGCTCTTCCTGGCAGCACTTTACTCCAGGAAGAGCAACTTTTATGGCCTGCTCTAACGCATGCGCGCTACGCATATTTTCTAGCTCGGCAGCTCAGAACCTCGCTTTCTTTCGTATTTTCGTGGCGCGACCGGCCTATACAGCGAGTTTCAACTGTATATGTAACAGTCCCTACATCATCTGTATGTAACATGTCAGCGCATAAACTAACCAAAAAATGTCAAAAAAATAAAATATAATAGTTTTGTGAATTTAATTTGCTTTTTTTTATTATTTTGATAGTTAGTAAAGCAATGTTTATAAAACGATCCATGTACTCTACAAACTTGTAATAATTTAATTTCAATCTTTCTTAGCCATCGATTACTAATTAAAAACTAATTTTTAATCAACTTAAAAAAATAAATTCTGTAATTTGAATGAGTTTAAAAATTTGTGACAAATTCTGTGCATGTTATCACTCTTAATTAGAGCATTTGTTAGGAAAGTTCAAAATAACATTTTTTTTTCAATTTATTAACTTTTATTTTTTTTTTATACCCGCCCCGACCAGCAAAGCCTCGGCTTCGCCTCGGTTTTGCAAAACCCCTTCCACGGGGTTGCGTACTTTCGGCTGAAGAGCAAGAAAAATAGTATACAACCCATGACCAGAATGTTGGATACCCTGACGTATGTGATATGATGGCCTCGGCTACGCCTCGGCCATCATATCCCAGGAAATCCAACTTTCAGGCCTTGGGTTGTAATATACTATTATTTTTAAATATCAAACACGTTTTAACTTGATATTCTTCCTATTACCACTCCTTAAGTGCAGTATAAATGTGATAGAAACGATTAAAATAATGAAAATTGAATAAAAAAAAACAGAAATGAGAAAACTAGAAGCATCATTTAAAATTCATAAACTTCAAAATGCTCATTATTACTCCATATTGCGAGGTAATATATGCGATATTACTCTCTCTTTAATTAAACCATAATGGCCGTTGATGCCCGGTGAGCCAGAAAATAAACGATGATGTGCTCGCCAAAAAAACGATAATAAAAAAGTACACAAGGATAAAAAAAATACACAATGGCCGATATAAAGTAAAAAAAAAAAAGTAAAAGTCTCTAATGAGTATTTTAAAATTTTAATATTGAACATAAAAATGCCTTTCAGGTACATAAAGATGTCATCTCCACACCTGAACAACCTCATTATTGTGGGATGCATGCTGACTTACAGCAGCGTGATTTTCCTTGGTCTCGATTCAACATTATCAAGTGTTCAAGCCTTCCCCTACATATGTACAGCCCGAGCCTGGCTATTGATGGCCGGGTTTTCGCTTGCATTCGGCGCAATGTTTTCTAAAACATGGCGTGTTCATTCTATATTCACCGATGTCAAGCTGAATAAGAAAGTAAGTGCCTATTCGAAGGGTTCATTTCTTCTTTTTTCTTTTATTATTTTTTCTTTATCACTCATTCTTAATTAACTTATTTCATTTATAATTTAATTACACGACCTTTACTTTTTCCTGTGCCTGTCCCTTTGTTCCAATGACATTTTAATTTTATTTAAATATTCCATGAACTTTACTATAAAAATCCTTTGGTTTTCATCCATTTTAACGTAAACAAAGAAACCAGCGAAGCGACGCTGGAATTTTGAAGTTAATCTGTTGAATGTGTATATAAATTTAATAATTAATCTAAAGGTCATCAAAGATTATCAGCTTTTCATGGTTGTTGGCGTACTTCTAGTCATTGATCTAGCAATAATGACAACCTGGCAAGTTGCTGATCCATTTTACCGAGAAACTAAACAAATGGAGCCTTATGTAAGCTAATGTTACTCTTTATTATTTTATAATTAGTTTAGTTTATGATATTAATATCGGTTTATTTATTTATAGCCTCACCCATCGAGCGACGATATTGTTATGATTCCAGAGAACGAGTACTGCCAGAGTAATAGGATGACTATTTATCTCGGCTGTATTTACGCCTACAAAGGCCTTTTGATGGTAAAATTATTATTAAAAATATTTTATTACCACGAAACAAAATACAAAAAATTGGTAAATTGAAATGTGCATGCCTTAATTAAGCGTTTAAACGCTCGAGTCATAAGTAAACTAGCTGTCACCCGCCCACTCCGCTGGGCACTTTATAGAATTGTATTTCGAGATCTAGACTTGAAATTCGATTGGAGTATTGTTTTGACTTGCACATATTGCAAATTCTATCGGATTGGCTTGTACCTTTTATCCATGTCATCATTCTAGCAAATATCCATTGTAACTTTCAATGTGTAATCACTATAACATTCCCGTGGCTTTCTCCAAAAATAAATAATAATTTTTGGATTTACGATTTTAAGTTTTGATTTTACGAAATCTCTCAAAATGAGTAGCCCAATTACTTTTCCACATCTCAAGTGTTTAGAAAATGTATTCATTTTTATCTGTTACATTCCCGCGATCCCGTAATAAGAACAATTCATCGGTTATGTGATCAGCAAAAATAAAATGTATGTAAAATACTCAGTCCGTTGACTATATAGCTACATGTAAAGTTAAATTTTAGAAATCTTACAATGACTTTTTCGCCGCTGCCAAAGAAAATTCTATGAAATTTTATATCTGTAGAATATATATTTGAAGAATATGAATTTTTTGACAACTATCACTCCCGCACTCCTATGTGAGAGACAAATTTCGTAAGATCCTATTCGAGATAATTTTTACATTATAAATAAAATATTCCAACAAAACTTCGAGCCCATGGAAACTATTGTTTTGAAAAAAGAGATTTTCATTAATGAATTAGGCGAAACAATTGTTAACGCCTCCGCAGTCCCTTTTGGGGTTGGAAATTAAAATTTTAGATTTTAACACCCACCCCCGCAATTTCTATCAATTTCTAAAAGACCGAACAAAAACAGTTTCACTGTAAAAAATTGCGCCAAGTCCACGTTCATAACACTCATCTCAATAACATTTGCACTTTACAAAAAAAATTAGACTCGTTTCAATAATTTTCATTCTTTACAAAAAGATGTGAAATACAAAAAAATACCAAGAAACCGTCATAATGTTGAAAAAATTGAAAAAAAATTTGTTGAAAATTAAAAAATAAAAAAAAATTTTTTTATCGTACTTGGCGCGTGTCATTGAGTACCCCAAATTTTTTCGGAAGAATTTCAACTCAAGAAAAAACGATTTCGCTCGTATATATATAATCATATTATATATTTATATAGATTTTCATTAGTCAAGGATACTGAACTCATTGAAAACATTGCTTAGTGTATTAATTATCAGTTTTAGTGAAAAAAATCGTTTTTAAAATTTTTTTTAGCTCTTTAGTGAAAATAATAACTGTCAATATGGTGGTGTGTTCAAGAAATCTGAAATTATATAAAATTTTTGGATTCATTTTTTTTCAGCTTCGTCATTAATCTTCAATGAAAAACCTTATGCAATATTAAAGCTTGATATTGATTCGTTTAATTGTAATTAACACATTTTGATTGACACTCACACCGCATTTGCCCAATGTAATCGGCCATATGTTTTATTTTTTAGTAAACACAATTCTCACAATGCAACCGACCCAACGTATGCATGCGTATCGACATGTAAGTAGTTTCCATAACTGCGTATGACATGTCGATTTTACCTAACTTTTGTAAAACTTATTATGAAATAACATAGGTTGACTTACTTATAAATTTCTCAATATTAAAAGGATGTTTACCCAACATTTATCCTGAAAAAATTTGGGGTACTCAATGACGCGCGCCAAGTACGATAAAAAATTTTTTTTTTATTTTTTAATTTTCAACAAATTTTTTTTCAATTTTTTCAACATTATGACGGTTTCTTGGTATTTTTTTGTATTTCACATCTTTTTGTAAAGAATGAAAATTATTGAAACGAGTCTAATTTTTTTTGTAAAGTGCAAATGTTATTGAGATGAGTGTTATGAACGTGGACTTGGCGCAATTTTTTACAGTGAAACTGTTTTTGTTCGGATTTTACATCTTTTTGTAAACAATACATTTTATTATAATTATCATTCTGGCTATGACTTTGGAGCAATTGCACGTCGCACACGTTCGAGTATGTTATGTATGACTTTTGGTTTTTGCACGACTCATGATGCGAAGCATCATTTAATTTTTACTATAATAAAACCTATTTGATTGTTTTTAACATTTTTCTTTGATCATTTTTGTATTTTTTTTCTTTAAAATTTTTTTTATCATATCCAAAAAAAGTATAACTTCTGATGCGTGTACATAAGCACACACACCATTTTTTTTTTTAACTATTATTTGTTTATTTATAATATGAATTCCGGGAATCAGTCTAAAATATTGCAGCTCTGTGGTATACATGCGATGTTTTTCTAATAAAATTTGAATTTCCCGGGAATCTTTCTCCGTATACATACAAAGCAGTATCGTTCGAGCATTAATGCCTTTTACTGTACAGTTAATGTAAAATTGTCGCAACGCACCCTAGCGCGTATAACAGAGAACTTGAAAAATTCATTTTCAGACTGTAGTTTTCTATCTACCTCTAAGATTACTATGTATTACCATTTTATGTAGTCTGTGACGGTCCGCTTTCTACAGTGAAAAAGAATCTGGATCTAAAAATTTGAGTTGCTATATAGTTTGTGCTGATGAAATTCAATAATTACAAGTAGATTAATTGTTATAAATGAATATAATTAATTAATAACAGTAAAATAAAGTATCAATTACTGTTATAATATACAATTCAGGAAAAAAAAGTACCGTAGAATTAAATAAAATTTTGCAACCTCAAAATACCGTTCTGCTTACTGTAAACATATTCGGTAGTCTGGCACTCCGTTTACAACGGGATTTTTGAACGGAACTTGGCGCCAGATTTTACCGAATCTGTGGATTTCTACCAAATTTAGAGTTTTCAGAAAATATATTTTGGAAATGAACATTTTTTTATTGTCAACACCCACTCCCGCGATCCTTATTGGAGGTGATTCGTTATAAAATCCGTTCTTAGATCATTTCTATATCACATATAGAAGATTCCTACTAAATTTGAAATCTATAGGAGCTATAGCTTGAAAATTAAAAATTTTTAATTGTTAATACCCACCCCCGCAACCCCCTGTGGAGTAGGATATCGTAAAATTCGTTCATAAATTATTTTTCATCTCTTACAGAAGATTCCTACCAAATTTGGAGTCGATAGGAGCTATAGTTTAAAAATGGAAATTTTTCATTGTTAACGCCCCCGCAACCCCCCTTGTGGGTGGAATTTCGTTAAATCCGTTCTTAGCTGACCTCTACTCGGTAAAAAAAATATTCCTACCAAATTTTAAAGTCTCTAGGTCTTATGGTTCCAGAGA